CAGCAAGGGAACCCCACTGGCTGGCAGAAAGGGTCAGGGCAGAAAAAAGGGCTAGTGCTCTGCCCAGAAGGCTCCTTTTGTAGTGACAGCTGCTCCCACCGCAGCTCCCCCTCCCACTGATGTCTTTTCCACCAGTGAGCACCCTTCCCTTCTGGCGGTGCTCACTCTTCAGTCCCTAGAGCTTACGCCCAGGTGCTCACGGCCCCACCTACTGCCTCATCGCTATCTGCCACAGCCCCTCCCACTACTGCTGCTGCCTCCTCTTCCAATATCAGTGGTGGCCAGGGTCCCTTCACCAACCTGACCAGGAAGTACTGTCTGTTGCCGTCTAGTGACCAGATAGAAAGTGTGAAAAATCAGGACAAGGGGTGTGGGGTAATAGGTGCCTATATAAGAAAAAGCCCCAAATATTGGGACTGTCCCTATAAAACCAGGACATCTGGTCACCCTACCTGGTGATCACCTTGCCCCACATCAAAACTGATGTGCGGACATTGGCACAGGTGTAGGGGCCCTGGCCAGAATGGTGACCTCCAAGATGTATGTAAAAGTCATCATCTTCCTGGCATTGGAGGCCACCGCTCAGGAGGCAGTGGAGAAAGGCATCTCTTGGGCGGTGGGTACTACTTTGTCCCCCTTGAGCTGCTGGAGGACCTGGGTTTATGGGTGGTCCTTACCTCCATCCCGCCCTTCCTCTGCAATGCTGCCCTTCTGCTTCCTCTTTCCAACTTGTAGAAGCTGGTATCCAAAATCCTCTCCCACAGGGCTTTAGTGACTCCACCCTCCACCACCTCCTCTTGTTCCACCATTCAGCTGGTGGCAGTGGTGCATGGCCAGGGGAGCTTGGAGGGGTCCTTCCTGGTTCCCTACCAGGGTGCCCTGTACTGGGTACTGGGTCCACTACTCCTTGGGGCAGGCTTGATGCTTCCTCTTGCTGTGGCATGTTCTGTGACTGTGGGGCCTAATTCTGGTCACTAATCCAATCACACCTCTGGGCAGAGTTCTTCTGGGCAGTTTCCACTGACTCCCTCCATGTGTTTGAAGAGCAGTGGGCACTGTCGGGGGTTCTCTGCTTGGTGTCATCCTCGGGTCCCTGATTTTCACCCTTTGACCTCCCTCCTACTGTTGTTTTTTCATTTGTTGTCCCAAACATTCAATTGTAGCCTGGGCTTAGTTGTTCCTCCCCCTTAGCTGAGGGGGCAGGCTTTTAGTTAGCCTAGACTCGCCTGCCCCCAGTACTACAAATAGTACAACCTGGACTGAGTGCAGAAAATTCCCCTGTCTCTACTGAGGGTCTCATCTCACATATTGTACTAGTGTTGCTGCTCTCGCTCTCCCCATACCCTCCCAGTGGGGTGCTCTGCCCTGTCCCCATCTGCTGGGTCTCTTGGGCCCTCCTTCCCGCTACATGTTGTGGGTCCATGGACAAAAGGCAGGATTATCCTGCACCCCTGACCAGAGGGCCCCCTTCAGGGTGGGAACAGGAACATCTGTGCTTCCTCCCAATGGCCAGGGAGCATGCTTTCATAACTGCAGGCTTTTGGTCTGAGACTCCAGTGCACTGATACTCAAACCTCAGTAGTTCAGGAGCCAAATTAGCAATCAGCATTACCCAAAAGAGCCACAGTAGTGTGAATTCATCGTTTCATTTACTGTATACATATAATTCTCACAGCAAAATGACTGACCACGTATTATTATTTTATCAACTACATTTGGTTAATAACATAGTAAAAGCATCCTGACTGTTTAATAACTTAGACTGGTTAATAATTAAATCACAGTGTTTTAATATTTGCTGCAAAGAGCTGCAGGAGACACATTAAAGAGCCACTTGTGGTACCTGAGCCTCAGTCTGAGAAGCGCTGCTCTAGTGCTTGGGGGATGCTCCATGCTCAGTCCTGGGGTGAAGTGGAACTAAGTAGAGGAGGAATAATGAATGGTTCTGTTTAGTTAGGCTGCAAGGAGATGGTTCTGGAATTTCTGCACCCCACTGTTGTCTGGAGTCACTTCTGTCCAGGAATATATTATTTTACTGATTTCAAGAAAAACATTTATTAGGGGTTTTTTTTGTTTTGGTCATGCGATAAAGAGAAAGCTTGAACCCTAAGAACCTAGGCTTTTCCATTTCCAACTTTAGACTGGTGTGCCACTGAGTGGGGAGAAAATGCTCTGGGGGAGGAGGTTTGGCAGGGGGCTGAGGGGAAGGGGGTTGGGG